AGATTCTTCAAGTGTAAAATACATAAGGAAAAAATAAGAGTATTTTGAGATAAGTGGGTAAAGCAAAATCCAAGATGGATGCCAAAAAAAAAATATATAGTGACAAATATGCAGATTAGATCAGCTTCAAAAATGTATGTGACATACGGCTTTGATTTATCTGAATAAGAGATTGCTTCTACCTACCTCATTCTATATGGATTGTACACTTGAAGATGGTCAGAAAATGGTTTGGCTGAAATGTTGTGGTAACAACAAAAGAATGAGATCAATAGTCTTGAAATGATAATCACATCTCAAAATTACAGAAGCTAGTAGGTTATTATTAAAGAAGAGACAATCTGATAATAATCCATTCTTAACATCATTATTGTGGAATTCTTTAAAATTCCAGATTTCCATGTAATCTGTTATACTTAATTATTTGAATGATTCCTCATTTAATTAAGTACTCAAAATGCTTTGCCTACTCTGAGTTACAGATGATTCAAGAAATTCTCACTCATCTGATTATATATATATCTTATTGATATAAACATTATATTCAATGGATACTTTGAACGAGAGGAGAGGTCTATGCCTTGTTTCCTGTTTAGGATTGGGTTTCTGGTTCCTTCTAAAATCTTTTTTCTCTTTCACTCCTAGTTGTTTTTTGCATCTTAGTGGCATTATCACCTTCCTTAGAGTAAACTGATTAAAAAAAATATACATGTGTTTGAGTAGACATCTGTTTTTTTAAACAGTGCAATTGACATCTACTGGCCTGGGTTTTCAAAAGTCTTTAATAAAGAGAATGTGTTCTTCAGTAGGGTTCAAGAATATATAATTTTGTCTAATAACATGTCAATCAAAGCAAATATCAGTTATATTTCAACCAATACTTTATGTATATTCTCATATCAAACCCAGATTGAAACAATTACTGTGGTTTATGTCTTAATTCTTTTTAAATTAGCAAGTGTAAGACGGAAAATTAATATGCACCATTTATAATGATCTTAGATTATTAAACATTTGCTTGCAAAGATAAAAATATTGTCATAAAAATCATTATCATTACTGATAAATAAAATGTAATTTACATTAGCGGCTTGCAATCAGAAATCGGTGAGCTGAGTTTGAATTACAGTTGAGTTTGTATGAAATCTCACTTCTCCCTCTAGCTACAGATTAAACATGTGGTTGGCTAACAAGCCGAGGAGAAGGACAACCTTGAATTTAACACCTGGGGAGGGCTGACTGGAGACCTCATGACACATTGTTTACAAGTCATCTATACTTGGTTCTTCCAAAAAGTGTAGATGATTCTAAACAAGCCTATATCACTATAATCAAATCATATGCACAGGGTAGTCTACTGACAGTTCAGATCTAGGAGCTGAATTGTTGGACCCTCATATATTGAAAATGATGGGAGAGTTCATTTTTTTTATCATTGAAAACCCAGACAACTCACTGAATAACGGAAGTATACGTTTGTTAGCAGACACCTTCACCCCACCTAAACTTAACCTGACTCTGTATATAACAAATATTGGATAAATGTGATGTCTAGGGAAATTAAAACCCAGCCACCCTTAAATTAATAACCTTAACAACTCATACTATCAATATTGTCTACGCTAATAAATTAAGTAAATTTCTTTGAAAGTTTATTCCTATCATCGCTTGATAATGGAACAAGACTATGGATTTTAAGTTTAATTTTTATAATTACAGAGCCCACCTGTGGTTCATACTGCAACTATGCTGAGCAGATTTTAGTTACAGTTTTGTGTTATCTAGCGTGATCAACAATATGAACAAAGCAAGCACACTCAATCCCTCGGTCATGATGACTTGTGGCTTTGTGCTAGCACAGCTATCAACAGCCCTCAAGAATTCCATCTACCCAATTTCACTCACAAGGCTTGAGTCAACCCATGGTATGGTTTTCAGGCAGTTTCCAAAGATGCTGCACACTGGGATCAGCCTCGATCCATTCCGATAACATCAGGAAGTCTTCTTCCTGACAAATCAGCCATGTCGAGATTCGAACCCAGGTCTCATGTTCAGAATGTGAACATTCTAACCACTCAGCCACGTGCTGATTATATATATAAACACACACACACTTTATATAATCATCCTGATATGTATTACTCACACAGTAATAACGTGGCAGGATCATCTAAAGCAAAGATTTTTATAAAATTTGTCATGTTACGTATTCTTCTATGGTTTATGCTAAGAGATTTAACTACAAAAGATCCAAAGTTTGATCAAAGACTTCATAATCTATGGTTTAATACTGAAACCACTGACAAAAGAGACAAAACAAAATGTGATCAAGTGAAATTGATAGCTACAGTTTACAGATTTCAATACAAATTACTGTAGGTAGAAAGACTTAAAGTGTGTATGGTGATATTTTTTCCCATTATTTACTGGGATTCTGAATCCTGATAAAGTATAAATAATGTTCACTAAAATAGAAACTGACATCAGAAAAGAAATCTTCTCCTTGGGTGAGGGAATAAAACAAATTCTACATGAAACGGTTCAAAAGTTTGCTTTAGCCAAAAACTATTCAGAGAAAAAAAGATGAGGATATTGGTTTAAATGGATCATAACAAAGACTGGCAAACAATTATAAATATATGTCATAAAACTTAATCCTAATTGTACTCTGTAACCAATACAGCATCTCGGATATATGTGTTTAAGTTTATAGGAATATCTGACCAATTCTACAAAATCTAGTCATGACATCTTTATCTTTATAAAAATAGGCTTTACTGATTGGAGATTGTCTGCAGAATGCTCTTTATCCCACACATGAGAAGAGGAGGGTCTTGTGGTCAAGAATGAGGTTTGATGGGCATTTGAAGATGACTCTTAAAATCCCAACATTTTCATTAGATCTCTTATCAATGAATTGAGCAACTTTAGAATAAATTTGATGGCTCTTCAGAAAAAGAAAAAGAAAAAAAAGCAAATGAATTTCTCAAATAATACTAATAATGAGAGGGAGAATATAGTAAAATGGATGACAAAAGTATGGACACTTATATAGCATCAGTAGTTATAGTAGACAAGCAGACTATTTGAACAATAAAGAGAAGGAATTCCTGTAAGTTCAGCCTGTTCACTGAATTGGTTCCATAATCTAACAAGTTACATACTCAAAGAAAATAATAAAAAGATAAAAACACTGTTTCATCCCACAATTTTTTTTCAACTTTTATTTCTAGTAGAGCGATGTTTTAGTAAAAGCAAACAGCATCTTCTTGTCAGAAACCTTAAAAACAAAATTTAGTTTTTTTTTTTTACACTTGCTCTTTCTCTCTCTCTCTCTATATATATATATCTCCCCACCCCAATGACTTGGCATCAGTTTTCCTCCCACTGATAACTGTCAACCCAACCATAAAAACAGTTGCACAGTCTGTTGCCAATCATTTGTAGCTGAATACCTTGTTGACAGTGTAATTAGTGTACTGAAGAGGCAAATGAAAGAAATGTAAAAGTAAAAAGGCAAACTTAAAAAGCTCCCAAAAGCTACTCTTATTATTTGAAATTTATGTTTGACACCCAAACAATTTGCACACCTTTGTCTCAGCTCTGAATGGATTATACAAGGGAAATGTGATGAGACCCCCCCCCCTACCTACCCCACTTGGTACTCAAGTTAACTCTACCAAACAGCGACTGAACATTTCTCAAATTTACACAGAATTAAAATCTTCATCTGAAGCAGCAGAAAAATTCCTTAGAGGAAATAAACAACAAAATTCTTTGCATTAAAAATACAAAATAAAGGAAATAATGAACGTTTCTTTCTATATGAACATTTTGCAAAAGGCTGATTGTGAATTTAAAAAAATAAATTAAAAAAAATATAAAACAACCCAGAAATTTAATGTACAATATTGGTCCATTAAGGAAGTTGCTTTGCCATTTTATGTGGGTGGGCCAAAAAGATATTAAATGCAGATAGTAACTCTTAACTATACTCTCTTGGCTTTTTTTTTTTAAATTTTACAAAATTGAAACAGTTCTCTTTTTCAGAGTGTAGAAATAAGAGCGTTGCTCCTTTTATATGAATTTATTATAAAAAGAATACATAAATTCCACATTAAAGCTCTTTTGGTTTACTATAGCACTAAACAGTACTATGATAATATAAGTAGTGGACTTGAAAAGTAAATTCCATCTTATAAGCAAACAACACATTAAAGACTTCTAAATCCAGCAGCACACACAATGCTATCAATAAGTTCATGATGATTACTCTATCGCTATTAGAATATGTAACAGCCGATATAATATGATTTATAGCCTGGGTTTATAGAATGCAAGATGGCTTAATGGATAAGTCATTGGTGTTTTAATGTGCTTTTAGCAGACTGGAATTTATTAACATCTGGTCCACTGTTATGACTTAATGAAACAGAATATGAGAAAAAGAGTGATGACTTAGAATTTTCCTTATTTAGGATATAGTTAGGGATATAGTTAGACATACAGTACATACATTTTGTTACTTTGTAAGTACAAGATTGACTGTAAAAGGAAAAGTCCAAACATTTTGGTTTAAAGTTACTTTTTCTGTTTGCCCTGATTTTTATCTTTACAGACTTCATCTAACCAGTATACAACATGTCAAGGTTTCAGAACCTGTAATCTGATGTAAATTTTTAACATCTGACTTGCTATCACTGAAAAATTGCAACATTCCAGTGATAAAATAAGACTCATTTTCAACAACTGTAATTGTCTAGATACTCTAATGCTGTGTATCATTTCTTAAAATATATCCAAGAATCAATGGTGCTTTTTAATATGTATTTAAAAACAAAACAAAAAAGTGCAATGGAAGAAAGAAAGAGAAGAGAGCATTATCAGTTTGGTGATGGAATGGCTTTGAAATAGTGATCCTAATTTGGAATTGCATGCTTCACTTGTTCCACTAATGATTGGGAAAAGTTGTCTCCAACTAATAAGTTGAACGAAATGGATCATAAGATCTGCTTGAATGAAGGACAAGCTGCATGTAAAGATGAAAAGAAATATAAGTAAAAGAGAGAGGCAAAGAAGAGAAAGAGAAAGAAAATTAAAACAAATAAAATAAGAGAAACAGAGAGAAAGAAAAGGAGAGGAAAACAAAAATGAGAAAGATAAAAAGAGAGTAAAAGGACAATTGAGAGAGATGTAAGAAAAAAATGAAAAAAAGAGTAAGAAAAAGGGAAACGAGAGAAAGGGTGGAGGAAGAGGAGAACATAGAGAAAAGGTGGAGGAAGAGGAGAACATAGAGAAAAGGTGGAAGAAGAGGAGAACGGGAGAAAGGGTGGAGGAGGAGGAGAACGAGAGAAAGGGGTGAAGGAGGAGGAGAACGAGACAAAGGGTGAAGGAGGAGGAGAACGAGACAAAGGGTGAAGGAGGAGGAGAACGAGACAAAGGGTGAAGGAGGAGGAGAACGGGACAAAGGGTGAAGGAGGAGGAGAACGAGAGAAAGGGTGAAGGAGGAGGAGAACGAGATAAAGGGAGAAGGAGGAGGAGAACGAGATAAAGGGAGAAGAAGAGATGGAGAAGAAAAAACTAATGATGGAAGAAAAGAAGAAGGAGGATAATAGAGAAAAAGAAGGGGAGGAAAAGAAAATTTAGGATGAGAAATGATAGAATAAAAAGATTAGAAACAAGCGAAATAAGGGAGAGAAAAAGTTAGAAAGTAAGTAAATGAAAGAGAGAGAGAGAAAAAGAAAGAAGAAAAGAGAGAGTAATGAAAGAGATTTAACAAAAGAGTAATAAATGAGCATGAAATAAAAAAAAAGTGAAGTGAATCAAGTAGAAAGATAAAAATCTAAGTAAATATCTAACACAAAAGAAATTCATGATTTTCATCAAATGACGAAATTTGTACAAGGGAGTGCTAAAAAGTTTCTGGTCCAAACTGTGTCTCAGAATTTGACCAAATGACTAAATATTAGATTTTCTTTTGGAAGGGCCTCTTGGTTGGGCTGATATTTTTTCAGCATCCCCTTGTATAACCTTCAAGTATGTGGGTTAATAATTATGACAAGAAAATAAATTATAGAAAGTTAAAAAATATTTTGAATTTTAGTAGTGATAAGATGATATAAGGGCAAATTTTAAAAGAAATTTAAAACTGGGAAAAAAGAAAAATATATTTTTTATCATTAATATTAATAATATATAGAATAAAGAATGTTTTAAAAATCACTCTGAAAGATAACTACTTGAAATAAAACTTAGAGTAGAATTAATACTCCATCTTATGGGTTTAAAGTAGAAGAAAGCCCTGAACAAAAACTTATTTTAAAAAAGACAAAAATCCAGCAACAAAACAAAGAACAAGCCTATACACTAGTTGAAATGGTTGGAATCCTTAGGCATTGAGTTTATAAGCTAATGGGATAATGTATTGAATGAATCCATTAGTTGTCCTATAAAGCTTGGAATTGCTAGTTGCTGCAATAGAGTGGGACTGTAGCAGTTAGTACAGAAGCACTGCTGAAAGGTTGTGTACAGCAATTGTAATGCTTGCTCTACAGTTGAAATGTGCATGTGCGTATGTGTGTATGCTGTTTGCAACTGCGGTAGTCACAGGATAAATTGGTGGAGGGATAGAAGCAAAAAGTGGGGGGGGGAGCTGTTACAGTAGTCATGGTGGAGTTGTAATTGTGTGAGGTGGGGATGGAAAGTAGAAGTTGTGATATTTATTAGTAGCTAGGGATGGGATGTTAGGCAAGTGGGAAGATGGCAGTACTGGAGAGGTGGGAATAACAATGGTAGATTTGTATATTTGTATAATGTTGTGATGTCAGTGGTAGACTTATTTTAGATAATAGTGCCATTGGTGATATTCTTGCTCATCAGAGCTCTAAAGTCAGTTATTGTAGGGTTAATAACAGTGAAAACTATACCAGTTAGTAATAGTCATATTGGTGTTATTAGTAAGTAACTTATATTTGTCTTTATTTTTTTTCATTTATTATTTTGTTAGCAATGATAGTTATTGTGTTTTTTATAGTAAAGATATAAAGGATTAACCTAGTCCAGTATAAGGCCACAAAATCTTCAGCTATATATTATTAATGAACTTATGAGAAAACAAAAAAACTTACAAAACTAGCTTGTTCACCATTGCTCTTCAGCAGGTGTCCATATGTAATTTTGGTTATATCTCATCAACACAAGGCTGCAATAGTGAAACACCAAAAGATCAAGACAAGTGAGCCAACCATTCTTCTACAGAAAGTGTATATATGTAGATATTTGACATCAAGCTACAATTTATGAAAACTCACTTGTAGTGGCTTGTGAGATATGCTTCTTGATAATTGTTAAACAGCAAGTGTTTTATTGCTGATAATGATGTAGTTATAGTAAGAATTTGGTAGAGCCTCAAGAATGAGACATTTTAAATTGAAGTCTGTTTTATTTTCTAAATTTTGATGGTTTAGCATTAGAGGTATGATGCAAGAGACAAACATAATCAAAACCATGGCAGTCAAATTACCTTGTCTATCTTGCTTGATTGAAACTGCAAAAAGAATGAAGTGTAAAAACAGTTGTCCCAAAACCAAGGCTCATCTTAAGACTTGATCAAAATCAGTATTATTAACATAGGTGCCCACACAAACACACAAATGTGTGCTGAAAAGTTCTCAGCCCAATGCACTTGCTAGCCTTCTTATGTATGATCATTGAAATACTGATTTTGGGAAATGGGTCAAAACGAGAAATTTTCAGTGTGTGTGTGTGTGTGTGTATCTTGTGCCATGTGACTTAAGGACTTTGGCAATCATGGCTCTCTTAATTATTCCCTAGATGTTATTTTGGCAGTTTATTGTTGTACAGGGAGGTGCTGAAAGGTTTCTGGGCTGACCAAGAAGACATTCTAAGAAAAAAAACAAAACTTTCTGATGTTTGGTTATTTGGTCAGATTTTGGGAAGCGAGTTGGTCAGAGACATTTCTGCAACCTCTAGCATAAGTAAATTTATTAAAAAGTGTCATACTAGCAGTTATGACTAGCTATAACAGTTACAATGGTGTGACTATTATTAATCTAAGTCATAATAACTCATCTATATGAGTATAATAGTAGTAGTAGTAATACTAGCTATAACTATGATGCTAGAGTAGTATCATGTTGGTGAAGTGAGCTGGTCTGCTGTTGAGATGTATTAGTCAAACAGTATTTGGTAATACAATCGTGAACAAATGGGGAGAAAGCGCCAGAATCCCACCAAAAGTCTGAGAGCTGAAATGCTGTGGAATGCCAGTCTGTGCCAATCAATCGATAAACTCAAGCAAAAGCAAAGTGAGAAGAAATAAAAATAAAAATAAAAAATATAACAAAACATTTTTATTTTAAATTTCAAATGATAAAAACATCATCATCATTAATAATAATAATGATAAATAGTAGAATTTATTCAGTAAACAAATTAAAAAATGTTTGGTGGTTTTATGACCATTATAATTGTTACAAGTACTAAAATATATATATATATATATATATATATATATATAGACCCTCCACCTCTGCTCTAATTGTTACCACTTCTCTCACAGCCAATCTTAAGTAAAAATAAGTAAATAAAATAAAAAGTTTTCATATAGACATGGATTTCTTTCAAACTAGAAAGAAGCTGGAAGTGTTAGTGATCTTCCAAGGTTTTGTTAGGTGGCAGGACAAGGGACAGAGCTCAACAGAGGGTATTCATATTTTACAACAAATAAGATATTCCTAGTTACAAATCACATTACAGTGAAATTGAATAAATTTTTGCCACAGGTTAGTCAACTCTCACATAGTCAATCAATGACCCTTTTTTTTATGGTTATAGTGACTCGGATATTTCCACTTGAGGAAGTCTTAAAAAGGTGGCGATGAGGAGTCCAAGAAACAATAAGAAGAGGGTGATAATGGTAAAGACAAGACAGTAATCCAGTTGTCATTTGGATAAGGAAGAAGAGACGGAAGAAATGAATGCAGTGTGTTTTGTTGCTGATTGTCTGTATCTACACAAGCTCAATACAAACCCGGCCATAGCTTCCAGTGATGCACCATAGGGAGATGGTGAAAGAAAACAGAAATGCTGTGAAAGGATAGAAATTGGATTAGTGGATGGTGTTGGCTGGAGCACCTGATGGCAACTGTTTTACTTGCTGATATCAGTAGAAGCAAAACAGACACTTGCAAACTCTCCCCGACTTTCCTGACCTCCCTAGAATGCTCATTCTCTTTTTCACTATAAGAAATTTTGACAATATAAGCCAAGAAGGTCTGTGTGCATAAAAATATGTGTGTATGTCCTGTTTTCTCACTATAAGATATTTTACCACTAAAAGATTTATATTTAGATTGTTAACTGGATATAAGGTTTGAAGTTTGAATATATCATTGGACTAAAGATTCTATGCTCCAAAATGACATTTCATAATATCTGTGTGTATGTAAGCCAAGTGGAGAAAAAAGGTTTATGGTAGTAAATGTGGTTTGCAAACCTTTCACTTTCAGCATGTGCTTGTTAGCACAGTATTACATGGTGATGGTAATATTAGCCATTTCCTTATAAGCAAACATTCATTATTCTTTACCAAGCAGTCACTTTCTATTAAAAATAATTTTTAGGAAAATTAGGTTCTCAAATCTGGTAACTGTTATTACTATTTCCAGTAGTGAAAGGAGTTTCCTTCCTAACCTTTTGTTTGAAGTAGTGTGGAATGTCAAAAGCTTAATTACAGCATTATTTTCTCTTAGAGGTAAATGTGCTATTCATTTTAGTTGTTGCTGTTGAAAGTCTGCTAGTGATATGATTTCTATTATTTGGTATATTTCTTTGTGATTCTATCATGTCATTCTATAAAGTTCAAAGATGGTCCTTGCCAAGACCGACAGGCTTCATTCACTCAAAGACATTTTTAACTATTGATCTTAGAAAGTAGTTACATACAGCTGACAGTTTAGATATTTCTGAGCAAGTTTAGAGTGATACTTTTATCTAAAGAGTGTGAAAGTACCTTTTTTCTTTTAATATATACAAACAAATGTGTACGTATAGATGCCTCTTTCTTGTGCAATGGTTATCAATTTGGCCTTGCAGAGCATTATGACTAAATAGTGAGTGTGATTCTTACTGAGTGCTTCATACTGCTGACAGAAATCAAGTTTCATAACTAACACACAAACATTATTTACATAGACTGTTGTCCTCATCTTTGTTGTTGATATCACAACATTTTGACCATTATTCTCTTTGATCTTCATCAGGTGCTTGTTGATTTGGTAACCTTCATGGAATTTTGAACTGAGCCCTTTATTTATGTTGAGAGAGAAACATAAATATTAATTTTAAACAATCATAACTTGTGCAAACAGACATAAATTATGATTTTCTCAATGGGCAATAAATCAACAAAAAGCACCAATACTTGGACATTATAAGTTTATATAAGTAATGTGAAAATAAATAGGTCTCATCACAGATGAAAAAATAACTAACTAGGTAACAGAAATGTGTTTCTACAGAAAGATGCTGAGAATACCATGTACTTTTTTTTCTGGAGTGTGAAAGTACCTTTCATGTAAGCAAACAAAGAAGTTTTAAGAAAAATGGAAACATAAAGGATGATTATACTTAGAATCAGAAAGAGGGTGTTGACATTTCTAGGGCACATGAGGAAAGAGGGCTTAGAAAATTTGGAACTCACAGGATATACTGAAAACAAGAGGGACAGAGGAAAGTAGCTTGCAACATACCTAATGAGCTTGTGTAAATGGTTGTC